ACCTTGTCCTTGAGGACAAGCAAATGAAGGTCATCAAACTGACGCTCCCAGATTCGATCAAATAAGGAAAACCGAGAAACCACGCAAGCTAGAACCTGACTGGGCTTCGAAAGATACAATCTCACAAACTGGCTGGCTAAGGCCTGAACATCCATCGCCATGGGCCTCTCTGCTACTGGTAAATAAGCCAAACTCCCCAAACTCTCTGCCCGGTGACTTTAAGCATCGGCCACCACATTGGCCTTGCCCGGGCGATACAAAATAGTGATATCATAGTCCTTCAGCAACTCTAACCATCTCTTCTAACGCAAATTAAGATCCTTATGCTTGAACAAATTCCGCAAACTCCAGTGATCAGTATAAATCTCACAAGGCACACCATACAAATAATGACGCCAGATCTTCAAGGTGTGAACAATAGCAGCTAACTCGAGGTCATGGACATGATGATTCTTCTCATGTACCTTCAACTGTCTGGACGCGTAGGCAATCACCCTACCGTCCTGCATCAATACCGCTCCAAGGCCAATCCTCAAGGCAACACAATAGACAGTATAAGACCCCGAACCTGTAGGCAATATCAAAATTGAGGTTGTAGTCAAAGCTGTCTTGAGCTTCTGAAAGCTCACCTCACACTCTTCCGTCCACTGAAACAGAGCACCCTTCTAGGCCATCCTGGTCATAGGGGCTGTAATAGACGAAAATCCCTCAACAAATCGACGGTAATAACATGCCAAGACAAGAAAACTGCGGATCTCTATAGTTGAGGATGGTTAGGGCCAACTCTACACTGCTTTCACTTTCTTTGGACCCACCTGAATACCCTCACTCGAAACCACATGGTCCAAGAATGCCATGGAATCCAACCAAAACTCACATTTCGATAACTTTGCATATAACTTATTTTCCCTTAAAGTCTGAAGCACTGTCCTCAGGTGATGCTCATGATCTTCTCGACTCTGGAAGTATACTAGAATATCATCAATAAAGACAATGACAAACGAGTCAAGATATGGCCGGAACACACTGTGCATCAAATGTATAAAGGTTGTTGGGGAATTGGTCAGCCCAAATGACATAACAAGGAACTCGTAATGACCTTACCGAGTCCTGAAAGCAGTCTTCAGGATATCTGGCTCCCGAATCTTCAACTGATGGTAACCTAAACGCAATCAATCTTAGAAAACACTCATGCACCCTGTAGCTGGTCAAACAAATCATCAATACGGGGCAAAAGATAACAATTCTTCACTGTAACTTTGTTCAACCGGTGATAATCAATGCCTATACGCATAGAACCATCCTTTTTCTTCACAAACAAAACAAGAGCACCCCAAGGTGATACACTGAGCCGAATAAAACCCTTATCAAGCAATTCATGTGACTGATCCTTCAACTCCTTCAACTTAGGATGGGCCATACGATACGGAGGAATAGAAATGTGATGAGTGTCCAGCAATAGATCAATGCCAAAATCAATATCTGTATCGGGCGGCATGCCCGGAAGATCAGCTGGAAACACATCAGAAAAATCTCGTACTACTGGGACTGAATCAATTGTAGGGGTATCAATACTGATATCTCTTACATAAGCTATATACGCGTCACACCCCTTCTTAACCATACGCTGAGCCTTAAGGAATGAAATAACTCTACTGGAAGTATGATTTAAGGTACCCCTCCACTCTACTCACGGTACACTTGGCACAGCCATCGTCACTATTTTTGGCGTGACAATCAAGAATAGCATAATGGGACGACAACAAGTCCATGCCTAAGATAACAACAAAATCTACCATGCTAAGCAATAATAAATCGGCTATTGGTCTCAAAACCACTAAGAGCAACCATACACGACCGATAAACGCGGTCCACAACAAGAGAATCTCCCACATGAGTAGAAACATAAATATGGGAACTCAAAGAATCCCGAAATACACCCAAATGCGGGGCAAAATAAGAAGACACATAAGAATAGGTGGAGCCTGGATCGAACAAAATCGATGCATCTCTATGACAAACCAGGACAATACATGTGATGACAGAATCGAAGGTGACAACCTTGGTACGGCCAGAAAGGGCATAATATCTGGCCTGGCCTCCCCCTCTAGGGCGACCTCTACCTCCCCGACCTCCACTTCTAGCTAGCTGAGCAGGTAGGGTAGCAACTAGAGCTGTAACCATAGTCTAAGAACTCTACGAGGCACGCTATGGCTGAGAAGTCTGTGGATGTGCACCCCTTCTAGTCTAGGACAACACCTCACAACATGGCATATGTCACCACACTCAAAACAACCTCGCGGCTGAAGTGGAAGTGGGAACTGTGTAGTACGGGTACTCTAAGACCCCTGAACACCTGAAACACTGTGTGAAGCCTGAGAAGCAAACTGAGTTGGCTGACCCATAAAACCTCTACCATGCCTTACTCTTCCTCCAAAATAAGGACCAGTGGGTCTCTGGTCTACGAGGTCTCCTCACTATCCTATACTCTCTATCCTAACCTCGTCTGTCCTCTACTCGGCGAGAGATCCTCACCACCCACTGAACTGGGACCACAGGCTGTGTCGCTATGACACATGGAACCTGACCAATGTGAACTCGCTGCTCTGGAGTGCAGGCGGAGGAAGTCTGGGTCCCTTCCCAGATCTGTGAAGTAGTTGGTACCACTTGAATCAATCCCGCCTGAACCAATGTACCAAACATGCTCAAGAACTGTGTTAAGGTCTCCTGAAGTGCTGGAGTAGTAGTAGCAATAGGCGTATCAGGCGCCTGGGCTCTAGCTGGAACTGCTGGTGGCTCCTCTATAGCAGCTCGTGCAGGTGACTTGGCCGCACTGCGTGCGCGTCCTCGTCCCCGACCTTTGATGACTCTCGCAGGGGGCGCGGTGTCTTGTCACTTCCGGTAGCACATGTCCTCATCTTCTGTGAGAGAATGGAAGACAGAGGTTTAGGATTGTGATGTCAAAAATCTCGCACGACAGGGAAATCAAATGAAGTGGAATTTTCCTAGTGGTTACCTAGCCTCTCATAGATAAGTACAGACGTTTCTGTACCGATCCGCGAGACTCTAATAAACCGGCTTGTAATTCATGACTCCTATGAACCTAGAGCTCTAATACCAACTTATCACGACCCAAGTTTGCCCTCCGTAAATTGTCATGATGGCAACTAGTCCCTACGACTAGGTAAGCCTAACAATTGCGGAAAAAGAAACAAAATGTGAAAAAACTAATAAAAACTAAAGATAAGTAAATATAGAAACGTTTAAGATGCCGCTCGGCATATACTAGTACAAGATCTCACAAATTGAACAACTTGCCAAAAACCCGGAATCTCATGAAATCACAAGCTATGAATACTGCATTATGCTCTAACTCCAGAATATAAAAATCAAGATAAATACAGAAGGACTAAAACTATAAGAGAGAGAATGAAAAGAGACTCCTCGGTCTACGGACAAGACAGATATACCTTGAAGTCTTTGTAGAGTCGCCTTGCCTCAAGGGTAGTAGGGCTAAGCCGAAGAACCTGGATCTGCACATGAAAAACATGCGCAGAAAGGGCATGAGTACACCACATCGGTACTCAGTAAGTGTCAAGCCTAACCTCAGTCGAGTAGTGACGAGGAAGGTCAGGGCCCTACTGATTATAGCTGAAAGCTGAGGTAAAACAGTATAGAATATGACAATATAATTAAATGCTAGCAGTATGAAATAACATAGGATAATAAGAATAACAACAACTATAACATAGACAAAATAATCACAGAAGGAATACAGCTCAACACAGAGATAACAACCGGGGATCTCCTAGGATACCGTCCTGTAGTCCCAAATATAAATACTCGGGGATCTCTAAGTATCCCGAGAATCTCTTAGTATCCTCAATATATGCGCTGAGGATCTCTTCGTATCCCGAGAATCTCTCCGTATCCTCAATATATGTGATGGGGATCTCTCGATATCCCGAGGATCTCTTAGTATCCTCAATATATATGTGCTAGGGATCTCTCGGTATCCCGAGGTATCCCGCACTATAGTCCAAATCAATATATGTTTAGGGGGATCTGCCGGAATACAAATTCTTAATCCCAAAGTAAACATGAAGGGGGATCTCCCGGGATACCGTCCTATAGTCCCAAAGTAACCACATAGCAGCAACACGAAAATATTCAATTAAATCCAAATTTCATACCAAGGTAAATGGGTATTTCTAACCTAGCATTCTGCACAGAGTTCAAATAAAGCAGTTTGAGCAAGTAAAGCAATTAAGTCACTTAGACATGCTTCCCTAAGCTAACAGTAGGCTTAAATTGCGAGTAATATAAACAGGAAAGGAAATACAGTTATAGTTACTTAATGAAAACAGATTTTCAACAATTAGCACAAGTATGCACTCATCACCTCACGTGCAAGGCATTTCAAATATCAACAATATCAAATCCTAAGGGGAGTTCCCCCGCACAAGGTTAGGCAAGCCACTTACCTCGAACCGGCTCAAAAATCAACCCGAAATCACGCTTTTGCCACGAGTACTCAACTCCAAATCGCCCAAATCTATTCAAATCAATTGCATAATGTAAATATAACTTCAAGTAACTGATTTCACTAATTAATTCTAAGCTAATACGCGAAATTAGGAAAAACGACCAAAATGCCCTCAAGCCCATGTCTCAAAATCGGGTAAAAGTTATGGATTATGAACCCTCATTCACTCACGAGTCTAATCATACCAAAATGATCCAAATCCGACGTCAAATCCCCATTCAAAACTCGAAAATTAAGTCTAAGAACTTTTCCAAATTTTTCCCAATTTCTCGCCCCAAATCCGAAATTAGATGATGAATTCATATTTAGATTAATGGGTTATAAGCAAAAAGGAGTTAGGAATCATTACCCAATCGATATCTCTGAAAATCCCTTAAAATCTCGCTCAAATCCAAGCTCCCAAGCTCTAGTTTTGATAAAAATAGCTAAACCCTTGACTTTGAAATTTTATATTCTACCCGGACGCGACCTTAATCGCGATCGCGAAAGCTTCCACGCGATCACGAAGAGCAACTTCGCTGGCTCCCAGATTCACCCTACGCAAACGCGATAATCCTTACGCGAACGCGATGCTTCCGTTGCTCAGCTCTACGCGATCGCGGTTGACCTCACGCGATCGCGAAGAGTAACTTCCAGTCCCCAACTGCCTCACTTCTTCCTCTTCGCGAACGCGGCGTAGCCCACGCATTCACGATTCAACTTTCCCCAATACTACGCGATCACACTCCTCTTCCCGCAATAGCGTAGAACAAAAATCCCTTCTGCCTCTTCTAAGCTTTCACGATCGCGAGCCTCCTCACGCGATCGCGATGAAGAAAAGTTTGCAACAAATACCAGCAAAAATCTGATCCTTTTGCAAGTTCAAAAATGGTCCATTGAGCATCAGAAACACACCCGAGGCCCCAGGGACCTCAACCAAACATGCCAATAAATTCTAAAACATCATTCAAACTTGTTCCAACCTTCGGAACGCTCAAAACAATATCAAAACACCAACTTAACATCAAATTTAAGCCTAAGAACTCCAAAAAAGTTCATATTACGCTTTCGATCAAAAAGTCTATCAAACCTCATCCGAATGACCTGAAATTTTGCAAGCACATCACATTCAACACTACGGAACTACTCCAACTTCCGGAATTTCATTTCGACCCCCATATCAAAATCTCACTATCGAATCGAAAACTTCAAAAATTCAACTTTCGGCATTTCAAGCCTAAATAAGCTACGGACCTCCAAAACACAATCCGAACACACCCCTAAGCCCGAAATCACCCAACAGAGCTAAAAGAACTTACGGAATTCCATTCCGAGGTCGTCTTCACACTGCTCCGACTACGGTCCAAATTCTAAAGCTTAAGCTCTCTTTTAGAGATTAAGTGTCCCAAAACACTCCGAAATTCAAAATCAAACATCCCGGCAAATTAAAATAGCAGAAACAAATACGGGGAAAATAGTTAATAGGGGATCGGGGCGTTAATTCTTAAAACAATCGGTCGGGTCGTTACAGCTCTCTATGGCTAAAGAATAAGATGTGACCTTGTATATTTTCTGCAGCAACAAATACTGCTTTTGAAACTTTAGAGGGATAGAGCTCCATTGCCAATGATATGTAGGCACCACCAAAATTAAGTCCCACCAAAAACACCCTCTCCCCGCCAGCGAGCTTTTCAAGAAAATCATGGAGTGGTTTGCATACTGTGATAGGCTGGCTCAGTCATAAAGGTTAAGATTTGTCAGCATGAATTCTTCACGTAGTTGTGATGAAACAATGTTGTGAAAAGCATGGACACATTGTGCCTCGTAGCATGCAAGAGTAGCTCGCTGTTGCATTTTGAATACATGGTTGCCAAAGTACGTACCAATGAGCAACAAGATTAGAAAAGATAATTTTTCAACTGTTCGTGTGTGATTTTCTCCATATCTACAGATGGTTCAAAGCAAAAATTCCTTTGCAACAACCACCACATATATTTCTACAGTGTATATATTATCAGAAGGAATCAGCGGGCAGCGGCCCCTGTCCAATCGTTGCTAGCTTCAAATACGAGCTGATCACGCCAACAAATAGTATGGTTGATGCCCAGTGAGTTTCATCAAATTATACAGCTCCAATGCCCCCTCGAAATATCTCAATTGACGCCACACTTCTTGCCCCCTCACAAGATGTCTGCATTCTACTTAAGACTATAGGTTTACTGATAAAGTCCGTCCTCTGCTGGCTCTTACAGTCAAACTAAAAGTGATTAGTCAATTTGTTATCAAAATCTAAATTTCTCACACTGTTGGTCAGACCATAAGCAATTGCAGCAGCTGTAGGCTTATTGATAATACTAGTGATATTTAAACCATTAATATTAGTATCCGTAGTAGCCTGACACTGTGTCTCATGGAAGTACGTAGGAACAAGCATCTTAGTATTTTTCACAACTGATCCACAACATGACTCAACAAATTTGGTAATCTTTGTAAGCACCATAAATGATATTTCATCAGCAAGTTGTTTCGATGCAAGATTGATTAAAGGAGTAACCGGAAGTGTCTGTGATCCTTTGGCATACTTTGTTAGCAGATTCTCATGGCCAAGTGATGTAGAGGGGCTAACACTAAATTTCAGCCATGTGGTTGACAATAATGGATTCACCGAAGCGTAAGCTAACTCCCTTGGTGTTAGAGCCATAAAACGATGGCCAGTGATGACCCTAATAACACCTTGGCCGCCCAATTGAGGCACATGATATGGAAACAAACTAAACTTGTTCACCAAGGTAAGAGTATATATCGAGGTATACCCGTAAGAGCTTGCTGGCAAACTCGACGTCAAGCTCCAATACATTGGTAGAACTATTCTGAAGAACTTCAAAGTCATCATCCAATAACTGAAGTGCTTCAAGACAGAAAGCTAATAGATACTCCAATATTAGAAAGTGAGACTTTCTATCATGTAGTATTGAGCTATTTGTCCCCTGCCCAGTGTCAAAATTTTTATCGTCAAGCCATATCATCAATTCTTGCCCTGTGTCCAACCAGGGACATCGATACATGCCAAAGTCAATTGCAAGCCACCCATTGGCTCGAATAACTTCTTTCATCATGCTGTGTTTCATTGGACGGTTAAATGAAAGCTTTGTGGCATCTATAATGAAGTTATTAATTACACCAAATGTGGAGTCCACATGCCGTAGAGAACTTCCACTCCACCGAGTGGCAACATCATGCGCAACATATACACCGAAAGCAAATGGAAGTTGTAAGCGTTTAGTCTTATGCACCAATGGGGTTCTATCCATGGCCAAGATATCACTCCTAGATTCGAGGTACCTTATTGCAAAGATCAGAAGAGCATGCATATTTATACCTGCACATCATATCATCAAATACCTTGTGTGGACTGTGGAGTGGTCACTGCTCTATTAGGACAAGGAACTACTGCGAAAATGTCCTTCGCTGGCTTTATATTCAACATCTTGCGGCCAAACTCCATGTAAAGCTTCTGGCCAGATTCGCTGACCCATAATTTTCCTTCGACATTGCTCAAGCAAATAGCATTATCGCCACCACCAGATCCTGTTGCACATTTGTTGATAACAAGTCTAGCTGCTGAACCGGGATCAAATGGGAAATGAAGTAATGAGTTGTCACATTTTAGGCATAAGCCCATACCTATACGGTCCACTAGATTCAAGCATTTGATCGAACATGTTGTAAGCAACTCTAGGTCGCTCAAAATATAAACAGAACTCTATCTGACTGTTGAGGAAAACAATACCTAAATCAGGTTCTCGAAAACAAGTACGAAATCCTGAATCATATTCTACCTCAGAGTATGTGATAATAGGAGCAACAGGCAGAACTTTGAAACCCTCTAGCTCTGACAATGTATCAAGAGCTGTTGAGGTTTCATCGACTAAATTAAAGTCATTCTCATTGACAATGACTAACCCAACACTGCAATACTAAAAAAAAGGGGCAAACCGACTACCAAAACCGATCAATGTTAGTCAGTACTTCATCCATTTCACAAGTGTTCAATCTGCTTTTAGCACGCCCATTAATAAAATATTAAATTCTATACAAAAATACCTACTATGACTAAACTACCCCTAATTAAATATTTAATGTGAAGAGTGAGAAAACTTTTTAAGGATATGATAGAGGTTACTTTGTAAAAACAAATTGAATTCTTTCTTGATTACATAACTGGACACTTATTTTGAACCAAAATAAAAAAGTAAATTGGACACTTATTGTGAACTGGAGGAAGTAATTGGCAAAAACCAATCGAGTTGTGGCGGTCGGTAACATGTGATCGATAGAGCCAACCTACAATTTGGTAGGTTTAGGTCGGTGAATTAAATTCCACAAATGACCAAAAAAGAAAAAATCTATCAAAAAAGTGACCTAAGTCAGTCGGTATATTTAATTACGTAATAAAAAATACACAATCTCATAATTGAACCGGAGTCTATACTGCAAAATATTCAACATGTTATAAGGTCACCTAAACCGACTATATATAGCAAGTGAAATTAAACTTGTTACATAGAAAATAAAACATATATACAACATGTTTGTTTACCTCGAAAATACGAGTAACAATTAAATTTGATTTGTGGTTTTAAAGATATGTGATTTAGTTCAATACCAATTAATAATCAGGAAATATGAAGTAGAAATAAAAGAAATAAGTGAATCAAACCAATATTACGACAGTAGTGACCTCGAGCTTAGTGACCTCGAGATGAACTAGTAACAATAAAGTAAGAACAATAAATGCAAAGGACAATTCTAATGAACAATAGGCGAAAAGTAGAGAGTATATTCTTTGTTCAATGGTTAGATGATGTTACAAATGATTGAGGTCCCCTTTATATAATAGGGGAACCCTAAATAAGGTATATTTCTATTTACAGTAAGGAATATTCTTGGTACAACTGTCTAACCGTCTAGTACGGAATCGTACAATCCTATTCCGGGATTAGCGATATGATCTTGGGGACGTGGCAGGAATTTTGCTTATTCTGTTACAAATCCACCATGGTACAACTTCGGGCAGAGGCGACTTAACCCCCAATCCACTAAAGCGGCCGTTTTAGGCCTCACAAAATTAGAGGCCCCAAAAGCTACTCTTTTTATATCTAATTTGAATATTTATTATATTTATTATTAAATAGTGATAAGAAATTTTTTCAACCATCTTTTGCTACTTTTTCACCAATCGTTAATAACATAGTTTTATATCTTATGTAGTCTTTTTTCGGAGTTGGTTGAGAAAATTCAAATGAAAGTGAAAGACAATTAAATCTGTAGTTAATTTCTAGTTTTTCTTACTCCAACTTGAATAAATTTTATTTACAGTTCTAACTTTGTAAGATATGTTCTTTCAAGATCTCTATAGACATGCTTCAAGCTAATTAGATCGTAATATTTATCATCATTGTAAATACAAATTTCTACATGATTACTACTTTGGGAGGCAATGTTATATAGTGAGTTACGTTGGCGGTCATGTAAAAAGAAAAATTTAAAAATTAAACTTAATAAAATCTTATCAAATGTTAGTAATCTTTCAACAAAGATTAAACGGGTTGGTTACATCGTAAAGATGAAATTGCATCTCGAAAAGTAAAAAAAAATAAACTTCAACTAAAAAATCTAAAATTATTAAACAAGTTTAAGGCCTCTTATTACGTCTTGACTTTAGGCCTCTAAGACTATTGAGCCGCCTCTGATTTCGGGGTTGAACATGCTCAGCTTCGGTATTCCTCGTACTCCTATCTCCGGGCATTGCATTTTGTCTTCGAACTCGAGTCTAGTCCATCGAGCTCGAACTCGATGTTTCCCGGACTCAGGCTTAGGATGGACCCTCGAGCCTATAAGTTGGAGGTATATGATTTTGACCGTATACAATGTTATAATAGACTAAATTATGCTGATGGTGTATATAAGTCAAATCTTAATTAGGATAATCAACCACCAGTAACATGTGGAGATTGTTTCGTCAACTGATTAACAAGTGTTGGACAGGATTAAAGTTGTCCTAATCAAATGGCACTCATGTCGTCCGATATTGATTCAAAGCTGCACACATATTGTCGCACATCCCTTCTTGCAGCCTATATAAACCTTAGCCATTTGTTTTATTTTTTCAACATCACTAGTGATCAGTAACAAAAAAACATTCTCTATTTATATTATTTATTTTGTACGTACGTTGAATTCCTATTTCAAGATGGATTCTCAGAAAGCCAGTTATCATGCAGGAGAAGTTAAGGGCCAAACTCAGGTAAATATCAGTCACAAATTTTACATTCTTTAATTAAGCAGATAGATAAATTTTGGATTAATTGACATGTGATGTTGGTTAATAGTATTCTGCTGAATATATATTTCAGGAGAAAGCTAGCCAGATGATGGACAAAGCTAGAGATACAGTCCAATCTGCTCAGCAATCCATGCAGGAGGTTTGCCATTGCACCTTTTTTATTTTCTCCCTCCATTTCATTTTATATAGCTGTGGTTGACTGAATATGAAGAATGAGTAATTAAAAAAGAAAGACTTCGTCTGGAATATATTATAATTACCCATAGAACTTATGACCTTAAATATACCATAATATTTCTGTAGTCATAATTTAGCATGCCATATTATTATAAAAGAGGAAGTTTTATAATTCTGGGCAGCAGATGAAGGCTAAGGCACAAGGGGCTGCTGATGCAGTGAAAGATACTGTTGGAGCCAACAAGTGAATTGGAGAAATTCGATTTTTGGTTTTCTTTATTATTTATTTTGTTTTTATAACCGACTTAATTTGTTTGGGATTGAGGCATAGTTATTGTTATTTTTTTATTTAGTTTTCGTATTGAGATAAAGGCATTAAGTTCATTAAAGAGCTAGTGCATAGGTCTCTTCTTTCAACATGTAGATCAAGAGATCACTCAGTGAATTTCATTAATTATTCATTAAATACCTATGTTCAACGCATGCGTTTCATTGTTTTCAACTTCTCCTAATTAAGGGTGTTATCTTTCCATGGCACTTAATAATAACGGAGTCAATCATTCTAATAAGGGGATTCACAAAAGTGTAAAATTGCACACATACAAAAAGTTTGAAACACTATCGACCTAAAACAATTTTAATTTGAGTTATCTTCATCTCAGCACTAAAATCGGCTTCCTTTATGTCAAGAGATTTATTACATAATTACACATACGTACAAAAGAATTTAATTTTTATCCTATACTCCCTCCGGTCTAAAATAAGTGATTTTTAGTTGTTTTCATACAGATTAAGAAATCTACCTTTTAACATTAATTAGTAATGAAATTGACCATATTAACCTTTACTATCTCTTCATATCAATACCCCTAACACATACTCCAACAATATTTATTCCAAGGACAATGTAGGAAAAAATAATTAATTCATTCTTGAAAACTGGAAAATCACTTATTTTGAACCGGAGGGAGTATAATTTTTCGATAAATGATTCAATTGAACCCCTTTTCGAACTATATAGCTCCAGCTCATAGACACTAGAAACTGTGCGATGAAGTTGTTCAACATAAGATATGAAATCATAAAAACTCATTAACCAATGAGCTGATAATTTCTTTTAATATGCTAATCATAGCCTTCACTGTAAAAGGCTATATTCTTTGAAATGCAAAAACAAG